ACAAACGAAGTTTTAACTTTATTTTAAAAAACGTAGCTAAATGTAGACAGCCAACTGATGTCGCTTTCCACTTTCTTTACTCATGCGGCTTCAACTTTAGAGTGGCTGAAGTTAAAAGACTTTTATCTAGGAGCAAAAATCCACCAGTTCTTGTCAAACTATTTTCGTCGATAGAAGTGGACTTTATTTTCTTCCAATTGGAGCGCTCAGCTCAATATCTCAGGGAAAATAAACTTTTTATTGGTCGAGATAAAACTCCACTGCAACGAAGAGTTTCTCCCCCATTAACAAACGTAAAGCCACCCCAGAATTCTACTCATCTGCCGTTTGCCCCTAAAGCAGATTCTCCATCGGGTGTCAACCAAACCCCCGTCTTATCTGCAGTGGCCCCCCTTCCATCTAGCTCTTCAACTGAGCAAATTATCACTGAGTCATTTGAGACCAGCCTCGTTAAAACGCCCCCAATAAGCAAGGAGTGCTCAAATGCGGCTCCCAAATTTACAAGGGCGCATGATCTTAACAGTAAAGATGAGCCAATCCTGGAACTACAACCGACACCTAGCACTCAGAATAATAAACTAGTTACTCAACCTAGGTCGAATCCATCCCGTTCCCGCGCCTGGCCACTCAGGTCTGACCTTGCGGTTAGGTAAAATAAGCCAGATGATAGTTCAGGGAGATCTTTACCTGATCCTATCCCCAATTCTCAGCTTCATATAAACACCTCTGTTGTGAAGCCCATTTGCACACCAGCCCGCAAAATGCAAATAAACTGTTTCTCAAAACCTTTACTTCCGCTACCTAACATAAACTACCCTTCATATTATGCTAATAATTCACAAAATCCTATTTTCATGCCTCCTATTTTTCCAACCCAACAGAATAGCTTTCCTCGTCCAGGGTCCTCCTCAAATATTTTCCATACAATCGTGTATCTCTAGTTAGTGGTAATTATCCCACAAATTTTAGACCACAGGAACTTTGTCTTCCACCGATTGCTTTGTCCCAAGAGCTTAATTTTCCACCACCAGCTCTCCCTTTTTTATAAGTAGCAATGTGCGGAACCTACATATTAGGAATACGCTCAGTATTGACTCTCTCAACGCAAGATCTGTCGTGCAAAAGATGGCACAACTAAGAAGAGTAAACAGCTTTACAAACACTCTTGATTGGCACAATATTTTTTTCAAATAATGACCTAAGTTTTTTTAACAATTTATTGCTATGCGTAACAGAAGGTCTTCTCGACCTAATTCCATAGAAGATGTTCAAATCAAGTGCTAATCCCACCGCTGTCCCACATTTTCTTAAAAGCAGACTTAAAAAGCTGTAGAAGCAGCTTAAAGATCCTTCTATGAGCTCATTATCAGTTCATCTAAGAATCGTTGAAATATTTGAACTAGCTTCGAAAATGAGGCTCGCGCGAGATAGGCTTTGAAAGTCTTTAACTATTAATGACGTGAATGCTTCTAAATCAGTTGCTCAGATTTTCCGTCAAAGATCATCAGCTAAGTCCCACCAAGTCATTCCGCCTTTGCTTAGTACCATCGATGCCTTCATTATAGAGGAGTCAGGCAAAACAGAAATTTTAAATTCTTTCTTTGCCAAACATTTCACCATCGAAACTAACCCAATCCCTTTAATTCCTCCGTTGTCTGATGCACCTCTCAGCATCATTAATTTTTCTCCTGAATGTATTCAAAAACTGATAAACCATCTTCCTAACTCTCACTCAGTAGGTACGGACAATATCCCAAACTCTCTTATAAAACAGCTACGAGATTTTCCTCCTCTGCTTAGCAAACTCTTTTCAGTATTCCTCGTAAATGCCTTCTTTCCTGTCTACTGGAAAACTTCTATTATTATTCCTGTATTTAAGTCTGGCTGTCGTTCCGACGTTCAGAACTATCGAAATGTACATAAAACGCCTTCTCTCGCTAAAACCTTTGAAAAAATTCTCACCTTAAAAACTACCGACTTTTACGTAGCCAATAAAGTGATTAGCCCTTCCCAGCATGGTTTTTTACCAGATCGCTCTTCTGAAACATGTCATTTGTCGTTTCTCAACCTACTTACCTCTCTTCGTAATGAATATCCATCTGTTGTCGTTATGTATTTTGATCTAAGTAAAGCCTTTGATCAAGTGCCACATAAAAGACTCTTGGTTAAATTGGAAGCTCTGGGACTTCGCAGTCCTCTAATAGACTTTATCAAGTCATGCCTGTCTTATCGTAAACAAAAGGTTTTGGTGAGATCTTCACTTTCCAGTGAAAGCCCTATTGTGAGTGGTGTCTTACAAGGTACCGTTTTGGGTCCTCTTTTGTTTTTGCTTTACATAAATGATATCTCGGCGGCAGTTAAATATTCTCAATCATTTATTTATGCCGATGATCTCAAATGTGTATATTCTTTCAATAAATCTACGAGCCTTCATTGCCTGGAGCAAATCCATGCTGACTTGCTTGCTCTCTCAGCTTGGAGATCAAAATGACTAATGGAATTCTCTCTGTCTACATGTCAATATACGTGTTTTGGACCTAAGAGGCTACTCCAACCAGTGGTCTTTCAAGGCAGACCTATGACTGAATGTGTCATCATCAAGGATTTAGGTTTAAGCTACGCCAATAATCTTGATCTCTCCCCACACGCTGACGGAATAACAGTCAAAGCTGCCCAGATTTGTGGTTTTATTTCTTACAATTTCTATCTTCCTGAAATTAAATTAAGGCCCTACCGTATGTTTGTACTTCCCATTCTCGAGTATTGTTGCCCATTCTTTGGATTGATGAATGAGGTTAGTTGTTTAAAAATTGAAAATGTTTAAAGACGTTTTTCAAAAAAAAACTTTTAGATAGGGAACATCCAAATATCTCCTAATAAGATAGAGGCCAGCTAATTAACCTAAAATTTTATGGGTTCGAAGACCAGAAGCAGGCTCCTGTCTCCTCTTTCGCATTTATAATAGTTCAAATCTTCCTCGGATTTCAGCACTTACCCCTGATAGTCGCCCATACAGTATTCACAACTCTTCCTTGGTTATACCTCCTCCAGCTTCCTCCACCTCTATGCGCTCTCTTTTTCGCTTCCAGGTATACTTTCCACTGGAATAGCCTTCCAATAAATATAAGATCTTCAGATAATCTACACACCTTTAAGAGAAGGTTACGCCTTTATATGAATACTGACTCGATTAAACTTTCATTTTCCTCATCCTTCCCGGACAAATTTCTCTGTGACACTGAAGAAGGGCCACGGGGCATTTAGGACGCAGCCATTAACTTCCCGTATCTGCTCACATTTCCTTCCTTTGTGAGTCGTATAGCTTCCTAAGATCCCTTACCAGAAATGTTAATTTTTCAGATTATTCAGTTCATGCATCGTGCCCTCACAGAATGCGCTCTATCGACGCTCTTGGCGAAGCCTTCTCTATTCGCTATATACTAGTAGTCTGGTCGCATCTCCCTTATCCCATCCTCGGATCGACTCGGATGAATGTACCCGATCGCATCTGTGTTCCTATCGCCTCGAGACTGGTTTTCAATTTCGCCACTTATTTGCCTTATTCAAGGCCACGTACAGGCCAGTCCTGTCTGACCCGCCTACTTACCCCTTCATGAAATCCGTTATGCAATGCCATATACAGTGACGACTTTACGGTTCTTGATGTCATCTCCTGCATTTCGACCTCAAACGGTCTGTCAACGCTCACGGAGGAACCCTCAGTATTCGCCGTCTATTAGTTGTTTGGTCGTACCTCCCTTCCCCACTCCTCGGCTGGGCTCGAAGCGTACTGTGGCCGATCACGTCTGGATTCCTCTCGTCTGGCCTCTTTGACGCGAATAGGCTCATCTGGCGTATGAATCCTGCACTGACGATGTCGGTCCTAAATCGCGTATACAATACCACATGTATGGCAGTCCTGTCCGATCCGCATGCCTACCCCTGAAGGCTGACATTTATTTCTGTCCCGACGATGTCCGATTATAATCCATTATATACCGCCACATGCAGGCCAGTCCTGCCCGCATTTTTCTGTTATTATTATTAGCGGGGGTTTTTCTCCTGTAAAATTAATGCAGTCGTTTTTAAATTTTCATGTGGAGTTTTTTTTCACACCTCGCTAATCATTTTTCTTAAAAGGACTATTAATTCAAAAACTATGAATTGCACTTTGTACAGATTTTGCCTACCTCGTCTATAATTTGCATGTAAATTTATTTTTATTTGCTTTGATGGGACCCCGACAGGTCTTTAATAAAAATTATTAGTAGTAGTATGGAGAGACGTTGTGAGGCGGTTTGTCAAACAGATGACAAGAGTTCTGATCGACGACTTTCACCGGCGTCTGCAGAAATACAAGCCTGAGATCGAGGAGAACAGATGGCAGTTTGTCCACATTCTCGGCGATCCTATCGCTGCTGATCTTGGGAAGACGATCACTGCTCTGGCACACCACAGGTAAGCCAAGAAGAGGGAAGTTAAGGAACGGAAACGGCCTAAGCCAAAACCACCAGACACAGAAAGCTCAAACTTGGTCCACAACCTCTCGTCTAAGCAGCTAACAGAGCAGCAACTACAAGTGTTACAGCATGAAACTTGTTTCAACACTGCAGATGCCGATCCTGTCGACTTCATTGCAGCCCCGGAAGCTATGCTAGTGAGAAATGAAACATCGGACGACATGAAACACTCCGTCCGACAACGTGTTACTTCCTTGCTGATGACACACAGACCAACCAAATGTATTTCGCAGAGTGAGTCAAAGACTATGAGGGAACTGAGGAGGGACGACAGCACTATCATTCTACCTGCTGACAAGGGACGATCAACGGTTTTGACGAATCGAGAAGACTATAATGAAAAGCTAAGCCCTTCTTGATGACAGAGAATTTTACAGACCAGCATATAGCTCACAAGTCAAAGCATTGGCAGATCGGCTGAGTAAACTGCTCATAGAATACCGACATAAAAATGTGATCACAGAGAATGAATGGCACCAGATGTGGGCAACTGGCACCACTTTAGCTCGATTCTACGGTCTGTCAAAAATCCATAAAGCGAGTGTCCCACTTCGGCCAATCGTTGCCCTAAAAGGCAGCCCCACCTACAATTTGGCAAAGTGGATGTACTCAAAACTGAAGTTCCTCCAAGGCAATTCGACTATTTCAGTTCGATCAGCCTCTCAATTCCTCATAGACCTCCGAGGTCGGGGGATTCAATCGGACGAAATCATGACCTCCTTCGATGTGATGTCGTTATTCACATCCATCCCACCAAACTTGGCCCACGAAGTCTTGCGCAAGAGACTTGAAGAGGCGTACGATGAGACTCAGAATGCTCTCAAAATTGAACACCTCATGAGGCTGTTTGAATTCTGTCAACAAACTTTCTCCACTTTTGCGGGAGAGACCTATGAACAAATCAAGGGAGCCCCGATGGGCACACCGGTCTCCGGTTTAGTGGCAGAACTGGTCCTACAGGATTTAGAAAAGATTGCCTTCATCCAAAATGAACCGGTGGTTTTGCGCCGTTACGTAGACGACACGTTCGTCATCATAAAGAAGGACATGCTGTAACATTTCCACAGCCTGCTCAACGCAGTCTTCCCTGATATAAAATTCACGAGGAAAGAAGAACAGGAACAGCAGTTGCCCTTCCTAGAGGTGTTTGTCAGACGAAACCTTAACGGTGAACTTGAAACGACGGTTTATAGGAAGGCAACAAACACCACGCAACTTCTCAGTTTTCACAGCAACCATCCGGTGGCTCACAAACGAAGCTGTGTGAAGACGCTCTTCAAACGGATCCAAACTAATTGCAGCAAACCGGAGGACAAAGCGCGTGAGGCCCGTTATCTCCGCTACCAGTTTTTGCAAAATGACTGTCCGAGGGCATTCATAAGTCGCTGCCTACGCGGTTGCCACCAGAGAACTCGAACATCAACGCCACCGACGATATGGCATTCTCTGCCATACATCAAGGGTGTTTCAGAAGCGACCGAGCGCATTGCTGCGGAGTTAGGTGTTGGAATTACACACCGCCCCAAAGCCACCATGAGCAATTGGGTCGTGAAAATCAAAGACCGGTTAAAGCCTGAAGAGCAATCTGGAGTAATGTATCGCATTCCGTGTCAAAATTGTCCTTGTAACTACCCAGGACAGACTGGGCGCATGCTCGGATCGCGCATACACGAACATAAGTTGGCTGTGCAACGAGGCGGCGCATTCTCACAAGTGGCCGCCCACACCTACGAAATGGGTCACGAGTTTAACTTCGCAGTCATCAAAATAGTCGCCTACGCCGGAAGCAAAACAGGCCGACAACTGATTGAAGCCTGTGCCTCGGACGAGAACTCGGTCAATCGATTTATCAATCTGGCGCCGGTGTACAGATCCCTGCGTAGTCACCTCCAGTCGTGCGACGTCGGTCGATGATTGTCCTAAATGCCTTATAACTGTCGCTTCTTCTATTGCTGTTACTACCTCTGACGACGGACTCCTGTACGAGTCTGAAAGTTCAGGACAATAAACAAAGTGTTCCGGTGCTCGATGGGTTGTATCTATTTTTTATTACTTATGTAAAAAAGTCAAGTGAATATTTTATTTATGCACATAACACAGATCCAAGGGCAGTGTGTACTGGTGTCTATGATAAAAATTGATTGACATACATCAATATTAGCATACTTTTCCGCTTATTAGGTCCCATTAGTGCCTTACATGTTCCCAGAAAAAGGGTTCAATGACAGGACATGACCTACTCGTGCGCGAACTGATGATGGTTAGATTTATTGGCATTACTACCAACAATACTAATATTACCTTGGTATCGATAAGTCACAAATAAGATCTGAATCGGAAACTATTTGTACCGTCAGTTTCGATCGGCCGGATGCGAATCCAATACGCGTTTGTCGAGCGAAACGGTTACGAATCGACTCCGACGTTTCGTAACTCAAACTTTCAACCAAAGGGCAGCCTACTTGTATCCGCTATCAGCGACCTCCCAGGCTTCCCCATCCAGGTTTTGCCACCTACCGCCGTTATTTCAAAGGTAAAAAATCTATTGAAATGTAGAATTTTAAAATGTACCTTTGAGAGTTTAACGCATGAAAATCCTCAAGGGCAATAAAATATCGTCTGTTTCTTGGTTAGAGTCCGCATAACCCGACCAAATGGGACAGAAGACGATGAAGCCGACCACAAGCGCTCAAGCTAAGCGGGATTTCTGCAAAATGCGGAATTTACTATCGAGAAATCCGCCGTCTGTTGTGGTTTAATGGGACCGGGCATATTTCACAAGTACTAATATATTTCACTCAATGACTACATGTGCGCAAACCTGCTTATTCGCAATTATGATGCTTTCTCTCTAAGAACCCGATACTTTCGGCAAATGAAGGGTTTGTCTACCATCTTTCTTTTTACAGTGTCGCCCATTCAAAACGTGTACTGCGCTACTTGCATTAAATAAACGGATCAGTGCCCCGGATGTACGTAACATGCACATCAATAGAATTAACTGATCGTTGGGCACAGATATTTCCATCGTTTTTTTCTAAAGAAAAGTTTTCAATTCTGAGAGAAATTTGGGAACCTCATATGAGATTATAAAACAAAACACGCACCAAGAACTGTCTTCACTTTCAAAAAACGCTCTGAAGTCCTAGAACTTTTAACTGCCCTCGGGGAAGCATCTTCTGCCGTGTGGGAATGGACATATCCGTCAAAAAATCTTTGATCGTCGAAAACTGAAGCCCGAGAACTCTTTCGTTTTTATTAACTGTATTTATTTGGGTGAAATTAATAACCTAAGACACCCAATCGGAGTCCTACTTTTCCTGCTTCTCCGCGTGCGCCACTGTGAGGTTCGCTGCTTTCTATTACTAAGTTATCTTCATCGCCAGTGCTTCAATTAAAGCTAAATTCGAGAGATTCCAAACTTTTGGAAAAGTGTTTTTAATATTAGGGCATGGTGTGGGAGTGTCTGCAAACACGCCCCCAACCACCGACACGCACTACTTTGGCTAGCTGTGGTCAAATTATTCTTGCCATACCTGACGGTCTTTGATAAGAAAGCATGTCTAGGTTCTTATATTCGTCGATACGACCTTCGCAAATGTTTGATTTTGGTCGAACAGTTTGTGCTTCTCCATCGCAGGATTTTGCGCCCCTATTACCCTGATAGCATTTTACTCGCCCAGGGCTAGCCCGGTCGCGGACTAGTGTTGCGATTGTCTGGATTTTTTCAGCAATCCTAGGAGACACTGTACACACGGGGACAGTAGGTTAACGCGTGCGTGCGTGCACCCTGAATGCGTGCGTACGCGCAAACGAACCCCCCAGGTATGACGTGCAAAATGCACTCGGGTGAGCACCAAGGAGGGGGTGTAGCAGAAAAGCTCCTTTCCTCGCACAGATCGAGCGCTGTCAACCATTAGGGTTACTAGCCCGCAAGTCAAACTGGCTAGCAGATGTCTAGCCCTGGCCGACTAAATTTCTGCTTTCGCTTAATGGAGAAGCGTTGGTTACATGTGTTACGGTGAGCTAGACTAAGGTCAATACGACAAAGCCTTCACCTGTATTGGCAGCTCGAGGTAACTTAAGGGAACGACGTCGAGAATATTTTGCATTTTTTTCACAGCCAGATTACCATTTGACCAGCTGCTTATCCTCTTTCTTCTCTCGTGATTATCCGGCCCTTAAAGTATGTATGCGTCTGTTATCTTCTCTGTATACACCATATAATAATCCTAATTCGTCCTTTTATTTGAAATTTCTGGGTTTCTGACGCCCGAGATTGTTCGCAGTCGGACCATTTTTCGGTGTAATGCCGTCTGAAATGGCAGTCGAACCTTTCGCTGCCGCTAGCACCCCTCCATTACTAATTGCTCGTCAATGTGTGACCGCCAACCAAGGCAGAATAGCAGTATCAATCCCCTTTATGCTATTGGAATATATCGGTGGACGCTATCCCCACGTAACCTCGCCACTACTACATGTTGTCTGTCACCCGCCATCGATAAGCCTTCATCCGTCGCTATCAGCCTACGGATTAGGACGCAACTATTAGGCCAGGCGGAACTGCAAATCTCGCCTGCGTCAAATTCCCTGATGCTCCATCAACGTGTAACACTTATTTATTGATATTGAGTTTTTGCTCGTGCACTCCACAGACCCAAATGTAAACTCATCTTCGACGTCACCTTTCCAAAATTTTACGCTAATTGACAGCGCCCGCGTAATACTCAATTAAAATTCTGAACAGACTTACGAACTCAGACCCAGGTCTTCAGTGTTCCTACATGAAACGCCAACTGGGTAACGACCACAGGGCGTTTAACCATCTGCCGCAGGGCGTGAGCCACGCCGGCTAATTATGTCGTAATCTACAGAGCCGACTAAACTAATAATGATGCCAGCCGGTACACGTATAAATAGGTACAACTAAGCCTTTAGGTCTTAACACCACTAGCTGCGCATGCCATTAGTATCCATTTTCTCTCGTCTTTTCGTGGACTCTGTACTCAAGCGTGTTCTGCAAATACGTTCCAAAGTTCACTTATGACTTAGGCGGACCTACCATGTTACGGGCCGACTGGCAAAGTGCTATGACGCTTACGTATCAAGCGCCATGGAAAGTTTCGCGTCTTTCAGATGTAGTTCGCTCCGTAGATGTACAGAGCCCTCTTAGGAAGCAAAAATGCTCCGATCCCTTGCCCAGGAACACGCAATAAACCGCTGGACTGTCACTTCGTACCGTTGCCCGTCCGTGAAGAAGTGATTCATATAATAAGTCTAACGTTCTTTCTTCCTATCGCTGTTTATCGCCGCTACTGTTGACGCCATCTCCACCTAAGAGTGATGATTACAGTTTGCGCCTGTTTGATGTCGTAAGTCAACCCACCCACTTGACTACCTCATTACGTGTTTTCTGTCCTGTGTTGACTGGAGTGAACAAGACTCAACCTTACATGCCCTTCTCCTAGCTTGAAGCTCTTTTACACCCCCCTGTTAATGCCCATAGAGTTTACGGCGCACTTTGTCTTGAGTTTTACCGTTTCATTTGCATCTGTAGCATGCTTGTTTTGATTCATGTCTGCCAGGGTCTCCAGGACATCCGACGAATGCGTTATGTGATATCGGCTGCGTGCAGCCCAAATGTTGACTCTCATCGTCATGCTGGACTCGGGCTTTTTATGCACTGGCATTCCTATCCACTCATTTGCATTCTTAGCTTCTCGTGTTTCTTTCCAAATTAGGGCAGTTGGCTGCTTTGTCTAGACCCCAGTGAAGCTGCAGACCTGTCGCCTGTCAACTCCCTTTGTGTTCCACATGAAGAGAGGAGCTGAAAAACAGCTTAACTACGACAATTGGGACGAGCCTGAGGAGCATACTGACTCTGGGAAGTTTGAGAAGGCTGACCCGGAGACTCTCAAGGCTCGAAAAATTTTGGTGGTGCGCAGAAATTCTACCCAGCCCTCTTCAAACAAATTGGGTATCTTTAAGTCATTCGATGCTTTTGGTGCTGTCAAGACTACGTCCCCTAACTCCTCATCGACGACTGAGAATTCGGACGCAAAATCACCGAATGACGCTTATCTGGCAAAGTTGTCCGTCCTAAATAAAGAATTTTTGGCATGGGTAACCAAGCATGTGTCCGAGGACCCTTACTGTATACTGACACCAATCTTTGGCGACTACTCAAGGCACCTGCTCTCCATCGAAACATCAGCAAGTACCTCGGAGGACAACGCAAAGGCCGCGCATTCTTCCGAAAAAGCCCCGACAGATTTGAACAGTTCCCAACCCTTCAGTTTTCAGACTTCCACAACCGCTGCCCCACCGCCTTTGCCAGCGCCCTTTAAGCCCTCCTTCCCGAATGGCGGTTTCACATTTTCATTTTCTCAGACCAGCACATCGAGCGAGTCGCCAAAACATGTATTTAGTTTTGGCTTGTCAGCGATGAAAAATACCAACGTCACCTCATCAGCGACGCCAACCTTCTCCTTTTCGGCGACACCAAAAGAGGCCACTGAAGAGGCAAAGTCAAGCACAAATGATGCAGGTAATTAGTTCTGTTTCGTTGACTATTAGACCGTTTTTATTAGCGTGGTCTTTACTGCCAAAAAGGCTACAGACCCTGCGCCCATTTATGCTGCAGGGTCCTCCCAATTATTGCAACTTATTTCGGCACAAGAACTATCATTAACTTAAGCATCGTTCCGCTGGGCATGTTGCCCGAAAGTCTTAAGCGTTAGTCTCTGCTCATGGTGAAGCAAAACCTCCGTATTAGGCTGAGGCCAGGGTGTGCCAACGACCATTAGGGGCCACGAAGGAGATGCCGTTGTCCGTCTTTTTCGCGTCAGCTCATTTCTTTTGTGCATGGGGCAGACTCTGTTACCGCAAAGCGCTGGTATCAAGCTTGGCAGACGTCAAAGACACCGGATTAGGGAGCCATTGCAGCCTGATCCTCAGTTCTATCAATTGATAACTTTCCCAGCCGCGTCTGTTAGCTCGACGGGGTAGTTTCAAAGCGCTCTCGACCGTGGTGAGGAGGCTAGGCGTTTGACCCAAACAGGATTTTTTCCCACCATTTCACCGGCAAGTTTGAGTCCTGCCACCTGATGGAAGGCGACTGTTTTTGTTGGTGTTGGAGGGGGTAGGAGAGGGTAATCGCTACCGGTGGGCGCTATTTAACATGTGGACAGGTTAATGAGTGGACTTGTGGTAGACAGTGATGTAACGTAAGTCACAGCTTGAAACAGCGTGTGTAGTCGGAGGTGTCGTAACTGCCACATTAGGTGTCCTATATATTTTGCCGGACGATTGAGCCACAGACATTACTGGAGAATGCGGGTGGTCAGGCAAGGTGAACCTTACTTCTACTTAGTTGTATTTGACACAACTGATCATGTCTGACCTAACCAGACCCGATGATGTTGCGGACAGTCTATAGAAGCGAAAAGATGATTTTCTGTATGCTGTTCAAAATAATGAGATGCCATTAAACATCTTATACCAGCGGTCGTATCTCCTTCTTTTGTCACAAATTGCGCCTCCTACAGTGGTGGAGGCCGTGGTCAGAAAGTCCAAAAACCATTTCCAGGCCTTGTCAAACCGAGTCGAGCTAGGTTGCAACTTGACTTCGTCATCGACGTCTCCAGGTGGACAACGCCGCCGGATCGAAGACAGCAGCACTAAGCTCTTGAGGTGGACGACGACAAACGTGGCCTGAGGTATCCTAGAGATTTTTGCAGCTGTTGCGGACTACCTTGTTCGAAACCAAGTCAGTATACTTTACTCGAAGAACGGTTATCAGGCAGTCTTTGCAAATAAACTGGCCTTTTTCTCGATTTAATTCACCTGTGACAGCAACGATGTTCTCCTTCCCGCTTGTGTACGCTTTTCCCTGTCGTGCTCTTTTCAGAGGACGAGGAGTACGTCCCCCCGAAGCCCGAAGTGCGTGAGATCAAGGAAGAGGGCTCCGTTTTCACAATGCGGTACGTACCCCGCTATCTTTGTTTTTCCTCGGAGTGTCTGCCCTCCATAATTGTTTGGGAAAAAATACGTCATCAGTGCTCCGTTTTCTGACCTTCGGCCACTGGGCTACGACATAAGTCGAAGATAGTGCAGCATTCACTGCAGTCATGAGGTATGCATGGGAATTAAAACTATCATCGGAATGGAGTTGCCATAATGATGCACCTGGCATTCTGGCTTTCCGTCGGACATTTCTATGCGATCCACTACAATTTCGCTCAAAGTCACTACTTAGGTAGGCTATTTCATTTTCAGTGTTCGCATGCCTATTTAGGGTGGGTCCTTCTTATTAGACAGAACTCCCAAACGACTCATAGGCCCATCGTGGGAACTCACGTCTTCGTAAAAACCGATTTTCAAATTGTGGAATAGTTTACCTTTAGGGGAGTTCATGTCTTAGTAACCCCGCTGGTACTTTCACCTGAATTTACCCGTAATTTCAACTTTGTTCGTTTTCTTATTCTCCCAGTTGTCCCAGACGCACTTTGCCGAGTTAGTGTTTCCGGATGTTTTGCCATAGTAAATTGCTAGCAATGCTTGGGACATTTTCATAGAACATGCATGCCGAATGCAGTAGTATTTCCTTCTACCTTCCCCAGCATTTTCTCCTCCCCCCGCTCTCACTCGTTATTCGTTTACTTTCCCTTCAACCTCTTGCCTTGGTCTCATCTGTATAGGTGCAAATTGTTCTACAAGAAGGCAGATCAGTGGACCGAGCGCGGTTTGGGAAATCTTCATATAATCCCATCGGATGATCAGAGGTTTCAACTTTTAATCCGAGCCGACACCAACTTGGGTATGTCACGTTTCGTACCGCACTTAAAATTGACAAATAGTCCCGCCCCCCCCCCCATCCTCTTTGTTTTTGTGTAACTGTCCGACTTCCTCACGCTGCACTGGATTACTATCTTTTATGATCTTTTCGGTCTTCCTCGTTCGGCATATGGAGCCTTGAGTTCTCCCTTTGGTTGAATTGACTTTCTGAAATTTTGCTTCAAAAGACGCTACTTACCCGGTGGACTTCACTGTAACCCTTAACAGCTAGAGTCGGAGGTGTTTGAGTCCGCTCATTTGCTCAGCATCATAACCGACCTCAGGGGTGTGTGATAAATCCATTCACTTGTGTCTTCAGACAAGACGGTGAAGGCGCCTCCGTCGTGCAGGATCATGCGTGGTGTATGTATGGTTGAAAGCGCGGTGCTAATATCACAAGGGCTTCTGTGAAACCTGCTTGAGTATTGCCTTCTTGCTTTGCCTCACAGAACGCGGCCGTGGCACGCGAAGGTGGTCATTTGTGAATGCGTGAACTGCAGGTCTTCACTCGAGACGGCCATGATGCCAGAAACCACCGGGGGGAGGACTGATGTGCCAAGGGGAAACTAGGTGCCACCCTCATCAAGGGATTCCGGAGGCGGAACACAGTCGTGGGGGCTGGTGTTTAAAATAGGAGTTCCGATTGGGTAGCAGGACCCCAACGCCCCAATCTCAGGATGCCCAAGTATGCTCTCACCCTCTCCACCTACAGTACAGACCTGGTTCCCTGTCGATAGATGTGCTTGCGCTCCCGCTAGGTGCACGGGTGGTGGGCATGGCCGCCCGTTCATCCCCGTCCTTCCGACCCCTGTTAGGGTGTTTTAGTTTTTGTCGTTGCTCTGGTCCCTGCTGGGGTGTTGTTGGCGGAAAATCCTGGTCATTTGCTGTGTGGACCACGGGGTGTGTTGGCACGCCTATGCGCAGCTCCGGTCGCGCCAGCCATCTGCGCCGTCTCCCCTCCTCCGGTCTTCTCGCCTCTGTCTTGACACCGGGTCCAGGTGTAGAGTGGGGAAGAGCGAGTGCGGTGGGTGCTGTGCAAGTCTATTGCCAGTAACTCATGCACAAGTTATGGTCGCGTAAGGCCAGTACTGTTGAGACTAGGCAACGGGGTCTCATTGTAAACGAAAATCGAGGAGCAGTTAAGTCTCGTCATCTTGCTAGGGTTTACGAGGACATTGGTGAACTCCTTTAGAAATGATAAGATGGTTCCGCAAATCAGCATGGCTCTCGTTACTAAAGGCAGCAAGTTGATGTAACTATTACTGAGAAGTTCACCCTGGGATTGCTATGCGGCTGTGCACATAGCGCCCAGGCCAATTAAGAATAACGGACCATGAAGAAGTTTGAAGTATTTTGTCCCTGGTATAAATTATATGGTATCAGTGAATTCTGCCGATTATGCTTGTTCATATTGACCCAACTGTGAAAAACTTGGCGCCTCGGTGGGATTCGAACTCGCGCAGTAAGGTGAAGGCTTTAGTACAGCCAACGCTCTAGCCACTTGAGCTACGAGGCCTCGCCGGACGACGCGAGTTTAATCACATTTGCTTGTGTTAAATTGAAGGTGTCTGTGGGGGGGGGGGGTGCTGGGAGCCCAATACTAAAAGGAAACGCCGATATAAATCGTGGTCGCACTAATCTTACCTTCGCGGGGTCGAGGATTAGCTCGTCCAACTCAACCGTCGGAAGCATCATTGGGGAAAGCAGATTTGAATTCGCGTGAATTAGGTTACGAGGGATATTTTCGCCGTATCATCTCCACCGTTTTGCCATATTTCCGTCTTATTTCACTGTTCGTGGGACTTAAGGACGGTCGTGGCCGCAGTGGCTCGCCGTCTATTGTGTGCACCACATGTGCTGACCCGTCATTTCCCCTTCCTCCCATGAAAGGGGCTTCACTTGTCCAGATCTCGCATCGGTGGGAGTTGTCATAGGACCAAATTAAGATAAAGACACTACCTTGGTCCTAGGTCCCATGGATCAAGTTGGCCGTCGTTCAAGCCAATGACATCTCTTACAAACGAGTTATTACGGAGAAAAAGAGTTCCCGCGGTATTAAGTCCTCTATTTTTCTTTCCTCTCTGCAGTGAGTCCTGAGGGACGCGACTACGGGCCGCCAAAAAACAGTTTTAGGAACTGGATGCGTGTGCGCCTTTTAGCCAGCAGGAATCCAGTGGTTCACTCCCGAGAGGGAGTGGCAAGTGTCGGCGCAACAACCGTGTACGCCATGCTCTAATGTTCCGTTTGAAGTAAAACCACTTTGGACACATCTGACGTTAATACTGGCCAAACAGAAGTCGTAGACACCCCGGTTGCCAAAATTGTTTGTTTGGTATCAGCAAACTAATCTTTCTCATCAGCAGATTCTGTAGTCATTAAGGCCACTGCAAGTAGATTTTAAAAATTCCGCTGCGATTCCGGCTCTAGGTTAATTGACAAGAATTATAAAGTAGGTGCACTGCAACGCTTCGCCATATCACTCCGGGACGTAGCAGGCTGTAGAGAAGTCCTAACTTGATCCATCGATTGCAGGCAGAAAGTGGTATTAAACCATTACTGTTTTATTCGACGGCCACAATCATCAACATCTGAATAGTCGCACGTTGAGCAGCTCGTGTTGGACGTTAACTCCTGCCCTAACGTTGTCCTCGGGAATTTATTTAAGTTGTTATATCGTGCAAATCAAACAGATGTTTACGTTTTGGTGGAGATTTTGGGTAAATCCGACTGCTTTTAATTCGCCCGAGTTACTTCTCCTCCCTTTTTTTACTTTTCTCGAGATTGCATGTCCTTCTACCCTTAGCAGTTTGTTCATGCGCTCCCCCCTGGACTGTGGTCCTAGGTTTTTGACCCTTCAGGAGTACCCATTTGTATGAAAAGGTCCCATTATTTTGCCTCTCTTTTACCCGTCAGGCAACATCCTCCTTAACATCCTGATGACCAAGGACATTCCAGTGCGTTTGCAAAAAAACAACATCACCTTCGCCTGTGTCCCCTCACCCCCACTGCCGGGTGACAAGGAGACGGACGCCTCTTCACCAGCCCGCCCCGTCCCAATGCTCGTTCGAGTCAAAACCGAAGACATGGCGAAGGAGCTTTTAAAAAACTTGGACAAATACCGTGGCAAGGCTGAATAAAGGGCAGAGGAAGCTTGTGCTGCTTTGTTTTTTTTTACCGTCATGGCCATCGCCTCTGACTCGCACACTTTCTGATCAGCCTCTGATTCTGGACTGACTCCTCATCGTGACTGCTTGCGCAATGGATGTTTTGATATGTGCTAGTCTGTTAATTTGCTTTTCAGTCCTCCGTGTGGAGAAACAGCTGCGTCAGTGGGGTTTTCTGTCGAGGTCGGGTGGTTCTTGGGGGTTGGCTCGGTTTTACAGCTGCCTCCACGTAGGCCGCCAAGCATCTTCAAATGCAAACGAGGCGTGCGTGATTTAAGTGCAATTAGTCCAACCTTTCTTCCTCTGGGCAGGAGTGGATTGCATTGCTTGCTCCCGCGCTCGTTTCCACGAGGCTGTTAGGGGCCGGATGTCGACTTCTTCCCGGGCAGACTTCACAGCCTCATTGGCCAAGGATGGAAGTGCGTATGCGGGTGGTTATTGTGGTTCGAAAAATATTGCTTGTAACTATGTAGTCTTATTCCTGACATAGCCCCATGCTACACCAGTAGTTTCACGAATCTCGGGACAGATCTGGTCTTAATTACTCCAACAGATTAGCCGGCCAAGGTCCAGAGCACTGAGGGAAGTCAGAGATTTGGTGCCCTTTCGCCACGGCAGCTTCTCTGTCGGTATGAATTCATGGCTTCCGGGGTCACGAAGTGATGACTTTTGATGTTCATTGTCCGAACACTCGAGTGGATCACCTTTTTTAACTAGGACCCAGTAGCATCCAAATAATTGCAGCCGATCGTGGGTCGTATCAGGTGAATTACCCGGTAATTCTTCTACGCTGTGAGGGGTCGACAACGGCTTGCTCCCCGAAGACACGGCTGTTATTTAAGAGGCAAAATCCACCTCCAAGAGGGGACTCTCGGATGAAGACCTGGGGCTGCGGGAAAATGGACGCTTAAAGAAGCTAGAAGCTGTGTAGTGGCCGACGATGCTTGAAAGTCCGCGCCGTCCTTCGTTCAAGTGATACGAGCAGGATATACAAGTAAGCCTGTGGGTAAGAATGTGAGGGGGAATGTTTGAACAACAGGAGAACGATCTTATCCTTCATGCTCTCCCGGATTCTCCGGCGGGTTCATCCTGAGGGCCATAAAGTACCAGGTGTCCGTGAAATGGCGGAAGGCGCCCGTGTGGAAGTTGTTTCGTGCCTCGGCAGGTCGTCGCATGTGGAGTCTGTCCTGCCTGCGGTCGGCCGTTTAAAGCCCTGGCAGCCCTGACCTGGCTGGGAGTGCATTTATCGACGCGGGAGGGACCCCGGTGATCTTTCATCCGGCGTTGCCGTCCTCCCTGCCAGTAGTCGTCTTTACACCTCTTTCTGAGGCATAATTGGTCGCAGGTCATTATGGGCCCCGTCTAGCGTCTAGATTACGGTCACGCAGCCCGAGGAGCCTGATCTTCGCTCTGTTATTTGTGGGGTTGGTGAAAATGGAACGGAACAGCTTACCCACTAACGGCTGTGTGCGCCTTGTTACCAAAACTGTGTACGACTCCAGAATGTCATTCCTGATGCCCAAGTCTCCAACTATTAACCCAGTCGCTCTACCGAGTTCCTTAGTAGTATGGACTTAGTCAATATCTCAATGGACAAGGAAAAGGTAGAATAGGGTGGCCATTTCTGGCTTGTTATCCGTCGTCATTCAGACCCACCCTGGCCCAGCTTTTGTGGCATCTGAGCCTCGGTCCTGCCTTTTTAGACATCGAGCATTATTAGGTCCAGCGGTCTACCATTTTTGCCATGGACTCATTGCCCTGTCACCGGGAATATTAACTTACGTTGGAAGTGCGCTTGTAGTGGGCGGCCATCATGACCAGTCTGGCGTCATTGTTCAAGACCTCGCTTCCTCAAGGTCATTCACCCCTTGCAGCGAGCCGTTCCAGACGCGCTTACATGAAGCCGCTCGACCGACTTCAGCTCGAACACAATTGCGTCCTCACAGTGTCGCGGCTACTGATGTACCTGCCGACGCTCTACTCCAACTACTTGATGTTTGTCTAGAAACCAACTTTGCTTTCGTCAAACAATGTTATCGGCAACTGAAAGGTGCTCCTATGGGTTCGCCTATATCTGGCTTTCTGGCAGAAGCCATAATGCAGAAACTGGAGTCTACAGCCCTTCCTAAAATTAACCCAAAACTATGGCTGCGCTATGTTGATGACATATTTGTCAGTGTCAAAGAAATCAATAAGACCAGCTTCACACGAATCTTACTTCCGCATTTCCAGGAATCAAGTTCATTTTCGAAACAGAGGTTGATGGACAACTCCCATTTCTGGATGTCCTCGTATGCTGAAAAACTGATGGATCCCTGCACACTTCAGTTTATCGCAAAGAAACATACTCCGAGATCATCCCACATTTTGAGAGTAACCATCCCATCTCTCACAAGAGGATTACTGTATACAGCCTGCTAAATCGAGCTAAAACGCACTACTCTGATGAAGAAAGTTGTCAAGCAGAAATTAAATACCTTTTCAGATTATTTTCCTACAACCGGTATCCGCGCGAATTTATACGTCACTAGCCGGACCCCGCCACGCGTTGCTGTGGCTCAATCTGATGAATTGGGGAGTAAGGGCAAGAGGAAGGAGCACGTTCCCAATTAAGAAAAATGTAAGGGCCACTGATTGGCGGTACGTATTGTATGCGAAACCCAGGCTTGTCCATCTAGCCGCTTTCAAAGGCAGGGCAATTGTTTGCTGCACCCAGTCGCGTTCGAGAATTGCGGAGTAAGTGGCGACGGCGGGCATTTATTTCGTCCACCGGTGTCGATCGAGGCAGTGGTGGCCTGAAGTCTCCAGCAAGCAGTAGCAGTGCATCGGAAATGATCTGCTGTTTCCTCGCAAATCCTGCAGCGTTCGGTCAGGGACCTCGAGCGCTTTTTTGCGCCATTATGCATTCATCCCAAACAGTAGGTTTGCATTTCTGCAGTACTTTTCCAATGCCGCATGCTTTGAAAATGTTATACGCGGGAGTTTCAATGAATTGCGCATTCAAAGGCAATTTCGAAGCTGAATGAACCGATTTTCTGCCAGGTAGCAGAGTTGCAGCTATTCCGGGATGCAAGTGCTAGGGCTATGTCATTTATTGGATCGAATTGCCGGCGGAATCGGTCGTAGTAGGAACGTCTTGCCAGTCCCTCCTGGCGCATCTAGGAAGAAAATTCCTCCGACCTCGTTACTGACATTCCGCAGTATTTGATCGTAAATGTCATTCTGCTCCAGTTTTACCTTGCGAATGTTTGATTGCAAGCATGACAGAAGTTAAACCGTGTTTTATTTTTGCGGCGACATTCCCAGTTGATTAAGAACTTTGTTCGCGATTTCGGCGTACATATCCTCAATCAATATTAACGCCTCGCTGTAGATTCCTGCTGTGCAAGCCACATTTGAATTTTACTTGCATAGTTGACGGAAGGTATCTTCAGCCATCTGCAAATTCTATTTCTCCGGTAAACCCGTTGGAGATGAGGAGAGAATGCGGTCAATATGACTGCAAACAATGCATGAATTTAATGTGGATGGGACGTGTTGCAGGCGTCATTAATACATACGTCCCGCTGTGATCGTTATCCAGTAACTGAAAAGCCTGACACACACTGCTGAAAGTGGCATGCGTTGACAGATTTCAATTGCTGGAAAGACGTTGGACCGGGCACATTCAACAACACCATGCGAAGTAAGATTGGGATGCACGGTATGCAGTCTGCCAATCGCAGTTCCTTTGAGTATGCCGGGGTGTCCGTCCACTCGCTCTCCTCGTTTGCGTTGTTCGGATGATTTTCTACACACATTCCCTGTGTAATACGTAGGCACTTTCGAATGCGGCAGTGTTTTCGCAAACGCGTCACTTTGGCTTAACGTGCAGAACGCAGTTGATATTGTTGCCAGTGGACCTAAGGCAACCTGTTGCGCGTTTTGCATCGGTGAAGTAAACGCATTGCCCATTCTCTAACTGTACTGCCAGCGAACAACACCTGGACTTCGCTCATGGATGGGGAATGAAAGAATTCGCCACATGGATTTCTTGCCGTTGACGCATCTTCCAGCCCAATACTGTGCGATTTCATTGTGTTGTACGTCCGCATCCCTTTATCTCCTTTCGTGTTGCAGGCCGAAAACGGCCATGTCGTTCCTTTATTCACTTACTTACAAATGTACCTAATTCATTTCCCAAAATTGCAGT